CCCAATTGACTTTGTGTATTCGGGCTGCGAGTGTATATCTTGTTTGATATCAGGCAGCAGACATGTCTTATTCAGTGGTGCCTGCTGCTGTCTGACCTCCTCAGCTGTGACTGGAAATCTGATGAAGTCAGATCTACAGCACTGCACTTTAATGACTCATACTCCGATGAGGAAATATTTTAATGCAGCAGCCTCTCAGAGACATTCAAAATATTTTCCTTATTTGAGTTTAGCCTGATTGGAGCTTGTATGTATTGCTGGGCTGATCGTCTCCATTAGAAAAAGTGACTGAGTGTCTCAGATGACAAGGGGTGGGGGTGGGGGGTAGATTCACTTTAGCGTCTCGTAATGAAGAAGTTAAGCCCAGCTGGAGTTGTTTGATACAGCGCAGTTATGATGGAACCTTAGTTTTGAAATATTAAAATAATGTAAAATATTGGGATCGATGATATGAGGTTAAGACAACTCAAAATGTGATGGCGGATTATTCAATTTGCCATCAAAGGTGTGATGCTGAATGACAGGAAAATCAACAACATATGAAGCAGTGGTGGAAAGTAAGCTCAGTAAGTTAAGGCAACCTGCCAGCTCAAATCATAGACTGTATAAACATGAAGGAAGTCTTAGTGGACATCCACCATGGACAGCTGTGGCTCAGTTGGTAGAGCTGGTCCTCTCTCAAACTGGAAGGTCGGGGGTTCGATCCCCAGCTCCTGCAGCCACATGTCCGATGTGTGACAACGACAACAACGCAACCCACGGAACAGACATGTAACGTACTATTTGCAAAGAACTTATTCTCATCCTATACATTATGCTTTATAAGACAGCAGAAATGACTGACTTGATTAATAAACTTGCACGGTGGTTTGCACGTCATATGTTGTGTTTTGAGTTGCACATTTGGCATCTTGATGTGGCGCTGCTAGCTCTGAAAAAAACCTTTTGAGTTCGGTGCACTGGCAGCTTCTAAAGCGTCTCTTTTTTAAATCTGGCTTTTTCTGCGCCATCTTTGCTCTCTTTATTATCCATCACATCGCCTTTTGACTTTCTTGTGGCGGAGGGATCAACCGATGTCAAGGAACAAACTTAAAGGAAGAATATGAGATCTTTCACACTTAAATAGAAATCAAGTATATCCTCTGAAAATAACTCTGTGAGTCATGACTGTCTACAATGGGTGTAACACCCGAGTTCCACTGTCTGTGATGTTTTCAGAGTTTTCAGAGTCCTATCTTCACTTTGTTTACATCGCCCGGACGGCTGGCCGGCTCATCCCCTCACGTATAAAAGTTGTTTAATTGAGGGACTAGAGAAAAGAAGAATACCATACTGTACTCACTGCTTCATTGAATGTCACGTAAGCGTTTCTAGATCACGGTCATTTGGTGTAAATTTACATGCAGTGTGAAGATACGAGCATATTAAAGATCGCTAGCATTAGCATGCTAACACAACAATGCAGCGTGAGTTGTTTTGGTTTCATGCTGGTGCTCAAAGGCGACATCTGCTGGATCAAAATATTGCATATTCTTCCTGTAAATACAAAAACCGATGTACAGTTTGTGTTTCCAGTCAGACACGGACCTAGCCTTCTGTTTGGCTTGTGGGACAACATTTCTGTAAATAGTGAAACGCTACTCAAATAATGATTACTCTGATCCATCCCAAGAGAGTGCAGCCTGTTCTGATCTATTTACTGGCACTGTACACCGACCCTCACAGCCCTACAAGACAACCCCGCCATGTGAGAATTTCTTGGTTCTCCAGATTAGCCACTCCAAGCCTTCCTGATGAATTTGAATATTTAAAAAGATGAGCAAACTGAATCAGGGGTTCATTATCAACTGCTTGTCTATAGCTTACACAACAATGAAAACATGTCCTCTCACTCACTCAACTCATCGTCACCACCCACCCCCACATCCCGCACGTCTGCTATAATGAAGCAGGTAGAACGTCTCTGTAGTCTAATGCAGTGAGACGTATCTTATTTTCATGGCTGTGATGACAGATTGCATGGTGCCTGCCCCTGTTCTATTATTGTCCTCCTGCCTCTATATGTTGTTTTTATAATCAGTAGGAAGTCAATGACTGCACTATTAAAGCGTACTAATCCGCTTTGTTTAAGGTTATGTTGTTTAGCTGTGACCATGGACCCTATTTCTACAATCCATTAATTCTACAACCATCACCACTGCTGCCCTGGTGCAAATCTTTCTCTCTCTCGTTTCCTGTCTTCTACGGGCTAGACTGACACTGCCAATATGTGCCAAGTTGCTATACATCTTGTCCATGCAGGAGGAGGTTTTCAAACTGTCACTCTGGCCCAAGGGCAGAGTGCCCACACACCTGATTAGCAGTGACATTGGAGGATTTTTCTTCCTATTAAAGTTAAGGATTCACAGCCTCCGTCTCAGACTCGGGTGATTATGATGGGCCAAGTGTCAGCCTAGTGCCGAACTGTATCTGTTACAGCATGTCAGTCTGCCTGTTGCCGCAGTGAGAGGTGGACAGATTCTTTGTGGGTTTCCTGATATCTTAAATGTGATTAGATGTACCCAGTGTTTTCTGCACTTCTGTAAACGCTTTCATTAGCACGATTAGCTCAAGCAACATTGCGGCTTGAAGAAGTTGCTTCAATCGATATCCTTTGATTGAAAATTGATGTCCAACTGATTTCCTCTCAGGGGAGTAGTATATTCAAACATCAATAAACACCTTCATGGGAATTAGAAATGAAGGTCAAATGATCCTCATGTTTAAAAAAAAAGCTTTGCTCTACATTTGTAGACTGCGATGTGGCTCCTGAGTTATCTGTATGAAACATGGGCGTAGGCTCAGTGTCATCCCCTGTTGGTTTCTGAGGCAGTGTTTTGAAGGTAAATGATGGTCGCTGTGTTGAAAATGCTCTCTCCACGTTGATTTGGATCAATCGAGGAAGGGGCAAAGAGGCGGGCCTTCACACTCCTGGTCAACGAGTACAACCCGCCCAGCTGTCAGTCAACTCAGCCAAGTGCAGAATTATGTATAACTCCTAGCTTTCCTATAATCAATACAGTGTGTACCAATAAAGACATGAGCGGTTCAGAACAAAATCGTTTTTTGAACCAGGCTGTAAACATGTTTATTTCTACTTCTAAAATGTGCATTTTAACACAAGTGTTAATGGGACTTCTGAGTCTTTTAGGGGTCAGCCTCAAGTGGACACTTGCAGGAACTCCATTTTCTTTGCACTTCCGCATTGGCTTCATTTTTCATCACTTGAGGTTGCTTCTTGCTTTCAGCCTGACTGTTTACTGACAGCTTCTCCTCCTGGTACAGGCTGTTCTGCAGCCTATAGCAACATGACAGCACTCCCAGTGGTACAGCATGTGTTACCACATGTCATAAAACATGGGGCAGCAGTAGCTCAGTCTGTAGGGATTTGGGTTGGGAACCGTAGGGGTCACCGGTTAAAGTCCCAGTGCGGACCAGTGCCAGGTCACTTCCCTATTGCTTTTGAGAAAGGTACCAAACCCTCAACAGCTCTGACACAATCCCTGTGTAGCAGTATGCAGCAGCCCCACTTTGACATGCCGCTACGTCCATATATAGTACCAGTGTGAGTAATTGACAGAGTGTAAAACCAGAATTACCTGGGATTAATAAAGTACGTCAATAAAAATGAAAAATAAGAAAGTAAAAAAGTGTATTATAACCTAAGAATCTTTTTGCACAAATTCTGCCGACTGCCCTTGAACTTGCATTATTATTTGTTTACAATGTGCTTGATATTAACGAGATTTGTCATTCTGCATAAATCCCCCATCAGAGGTCGGCCTGCAGGGAAACTTAAAGCAGTGATGCATTGTTTTCTCTGGTTTCTGCTGCGTTGTATTCAAACCTTTTCTATGGCCTAATAAACAAAACACAATAATGACAACTACGAGGAGACTAGAATAAAAGAGTGAAAACTCCTCAAAATACAACATTATCTGTAGGATCTCTGTAATAACAATGAATGTTCCAAAAAGACAGTGGATGATCCATAATTTTCTGTACACTGAGTGAAAAACAAACAAATAAATCATAACTTTGAAATATAATTTCACCCCTACATTTACACATGGAGCCTACTTGTCCGACCTGCAAGAGAAGTGATAATAAGCAAGACTTATGCTTATGGACCAATTTTCCGTTTTCAGTCGGTCGAGACCACAAAATGTGTGCCATGGGAAAATAACCTTGTCAAAAAAAATCAACAAAGAGCTTTATAAACCTATTTGTTTTGATCCGTCTCTTTGTTTCTGAAACATATTTTGTACTGAGGTCTAAACTGCACAATGTCTCCTTAAATAAATGTGATTGTTAAAAAGAAAATACAAATTTTGGTCCCAATTTGCTGAGTGGGTCTTGGGGCTAAACCAGTTGAGAACCGCTGCTCTAGAATGACCACTGTGAGTAGCAAAATTCAACTGTGCGCCTTTATATAAATTAAAATACTATTTCATAGGCACTGTTTACATGGCTTGCATTTCTATAAATGCAGCAGGAGTAGCCTAATCCAATGTTGCAAAGTGGCGGCTCCATAGGCATATATATGTTCCTCATAAAACAAGCTTGTTGGATGTTCATTTATTCTTGTAATTTTTATAGGAAGGAGCTTTCACCTCCCCAACCCCCCTTAAATACAAACAAACACACATACAAACCAACACACAGGTATGAATACTCATTGAAAAATAATTGCCATTTTACTCTTAAACTTTATATCATATACCATTTTTTTAATTTATATATGATCTATATTTCCTGTTTCATCCCATCTTGCACCTGTCCAGCTCGTGTAGGCGGAAGGCGGGCTGCTCTTCCTTTTATGGTCTCCGTTTCCTCCCGATGGAAGCATCACTTGGATGAGGAGAGCAGAGCAGAGCGCAGCTTCACACGTTACATTTATCTCCATGCAGAGCTGCTGCGCTCCTCGCTCAGCCTGAATCCTTCTGGAACATTCACTCACTTTTCATCACACAGTGAGCAAAGTGGAAAAATATGACAATAATTACAGCAGCCGCTTGCTGAGTATCTAGGCTTACATATGATTTTTATTGCCCGTGAGGTATTTTTCTCTCTTATTTTTTGTTTCCCTCGCCGATCAATCAGTGGAATGGTCTGCCTTTTCTCACCTGGATCGTTTCCACTTCAGCATGGGAACTGCGGTGTCCAAAAGGAAGAATCTGAGGAGTGATGCGATTTCTTCCGTGGCCGCAAAAGTTCGGTGAGTGACGCGGGGTCAGAGACGCACCGTGGGGAGAAAACTACTGAAGTGACTTGCGGATGATATAAACAAATAGTTCTGTTGTATCTGTTGTTTCCAAAAGCTTCAAACTCTGAAATGATCAACTCTTTAATCCTCCCACATGGAGACTCAACTGCTTCTCTTAAATACTGGAGCTCCTTTTATTGACTCATTTTATTCTAAGTAGGCTACTTGTTTTATAATATGAATACAGTATTAATATGTGATCAGAATCTCAGGTTTCAGCGGCTTTTTCCCCTTCATACACGAATCCTTAGTCCCAGAAAACGTTTTTAAAAATCATAATATGGGCTACTTTTTTCTATTTAAATGCATATTATTTAAATTGTGGATTCATTCCTGAATGTATTCCTAATGAAGGTTAGCACAGAGCTGGTTTAAAGGTTTCATGAAAACTAATTAGTGGCTCTTTTGGCCCCTTTTGAACGTGTTGTACCATGCGGTTTAGTAACTGAACCATTGAAGTATTTGATGATATATTTCAGACCAAGCACTTTTTCTAAACTTAATTAATTGAGATAATTATCTGCACCTTAAAGTTGGAAAATTAATCAAAAAGCTAATTGATGTCTTCCTGGCTGCTTTTAAAACTGCATAACATTTAGACAGTGGTGGACAAAGTTCACATCTTCATGACTTGAGTCAAAGTAAAGATCCTCCTGATCAAATATGACTCCAGCACAAGAGGAAGCTGCTCGGTCTAATTAGTAGTTGAGTTAAAGTTTGGAGTACTTTCTGTTCAAAATACAATTCTGCTACGTTATTATTCAATCATTTACATTTTTTAAACTCACATGCTACAGATTTACACATTTACACATTTAAAGATTTGCAGCTCCAAAATAAAAGGAACAAAAACAGGAACATACAAATAAACTTCATGCTTTAGTGAATGTTTTTAAAGAAACATTTCAGGAGGTGTACGGCCTCTTAGACTCTGAAACTGTGCAGCATCTTCTTAATCCTGGTGCTAGAGCTACCGTTGTTGTTTTTTTTATTTCCCTACGCACAAACTAAAGTAAAATATGTTTAAAAAAATAGTCTTTGTGACATCTTCTCTATTCCAGTAAATTAACTGTCTGACCTAAGTGATGTTTGCTCAAATGTTCAACCACGGAGATGTAAGGTGTATAGGTACGGCAACACCACTAAGACAAATCACATGCAGAAAACACGTACAGTTTATTGTCTTTCTTATAGCTATATAAGCTATATAAGCTGATCCTTTCCTGCATGTCATTCCCCACTTTCTCTTTCTCTCTCTCTCTCTCTCTCTCCAGATTTCCTACTCTATCCTCTGGCCTATCAAAATAAAAGCGTAAAGCCCACAAATAAATCTAAAAAAATAAATCTAAAAAAAAGGAATATTCAGTAGCTGTCTTCAGGGCAAAAGTAGTGAGTAAAGAGAACATTAATAGGAATGTAGTGAAGGTAAAAGTAGGATATTTGTCTTTCGGCTATAGAGGAGTAAAAGGGATAAGTTTCCCAAAAAATAATACTCCAGTAAAGTGTACTTAGGTACAGTACTCAAGTAGATTCACATGGTTACTGTTCACCACTGGATTTAGCCTACAAGTCTTCCAGATGTCCCTCTAACTTATACATAACAATTTAATATTTGAAAGCTCAAAACAGTATTTGATGTAATTTCAGTATCAAGAAAATCTTCTGGTCGTGCCTGTCTGTGCTTTGGTTGCACGCTGTGTACACAAACAGAGAGTGACGGTCACAGAATTCAAGCTGGACTCACTTGACTTGTGATTTATTATCTTGACATTTAACTGTGGATGTATGAGTCATGCCATGAAAGGTCTTTGTGTCATGGGTGTCAGATCAGTGTGTTCTCGCTCCGAGGGGCCGTGCGGGATGACTAATGCTCGCTGGTAGGAGATGCAGTCAGAAATCGCCCACTTTCTGACCTCAGAGGGCAGAATGCAGACGAATGAAGCACTTGTGCTCTCGGTCGTGTGCGCACACACATACGCTGTCTCGCCCAAAATGCGTGATCTTGTGCACAGCCACTCTGCAGTTAAACAAACGCACACAACATAAGGCCTTTCATCGTCTGCTTACACAGTCATTGGCACCCTCCCTTGTGCACACGCTCTCCAGCTCTATTGTCTCTGTGTTGCTTTTTCTGTTTTATCTGCTTATCGCCTACTTGCTCGCCTGCTTAGTGTTTCACACCTCACGTTTAACTCTCCATAAATCGTGCAGATCGCAGCCAGCATCCTGAACTCGCACGAGGACCGGAGCCAAGGCCGACTTTGCATGCGCATACTTCCCTCATTATCGCCGACGGCGGGCCACACTCTAGTCGACGGGCTGGGAATATAGTTGAGTCTCGATCCTGTAGGTGGATCAGAGTTTATCTGCTGTGCTTTCAACGAGCAGGTGTGAGGCTGTTTCATCTCTCTTTAACACATCCGATCCAATGTCTTTGGTCTTTGTGTGAGTGTGATTAGCAATGCAGTAGCGGGATTATAATAAGCGTGTCTAATAGGATCCTCTTCCCAGCTCTGTCACTTTGACCCGGCTGCGCCTCACACATCCCCTTAAAGTGTGAATGCTAGCTTCAGCAGCTTCAGATTGTCTTTGGTTGGTCAGGGTTAATTCACACTCACACTCCCACGAGCGCTGCGCAGAAAGTGGATTCTGGTGGATTAACATGATTTCGCAAGGTTCTGTACTCCAAAAAAATAAAAAATAAAGCAAGAGTGATATTTGGGTTTGCAGAAATGATCATGCTGACACGGGCCTGTATTAGATTTATATTAGAAATGATGCAGAAGATGATGATTGGAAACATCACATATGACTCCAGGACAAGAATTTTACCTAAATACTTTTAATCCTGATCAAACTTTGTTAGTGTGATCATAAACTTAAGAATTCTCCTTAAGAGCAGAGAGAGTGGAGAGCGCTCCAAGTGGCTGACCTTCCTTTGGTGAAATGAATCTCACACATCAGCCAGGTTTGCAAACACGAGCATGCTGTGAAATGTTTATGAACAACACCTTGGAGGATTTCAGCGTATTTATCAAGAGATCATTTTTGGAATATTCAAGTAAATACCTCGTGTTGTCTCGGCATCTGCTGTGAGCTCATATCCATGGAATCAGGCTCGTTACTTGTTCCTCACACTTTCTTGCTCCTTGGCTGAATTTTGTCATTTCTATTTTTATGACGTTTGTTTAGACTGAACAGTTTGCATCATGTTGGCAGAGTGGGTACAACCTATGAGGACACTGATCATAACCGGTTTCGCCTGGTCGTCTTGACTACGGTCAACTTGCAGTTTGTTTTAAACCTTCTTTATTGTTTTGAGAGCCCCCTGGTGGTAGGAATTAACATACTGTGCGTTTAGTTACCTGGTGACGTCTGTGCATAATTACTCTTCTGGTGAGAAATGTTAAATGGTATACACCACACGAGTTTTAACCTAAACATGAGCTGGGCTTCTTTTAGCATCAGAACATCCTGCAGGATGAGGCATGCCCTCATGTACAGAGACTATAGTCCTCATTGCAGCAGTCGTGGGTTCAAATTGGACCTCGTCGTCCCTTTGCTGCACGTCATCTCCACTCTCTACTAGCAACATTTCCTGTCTCTCTTCATTTTGTATATACTGTATATAAAATGTTTTGCTTGAATAATATCTTTTTCTGTTTTTATCTTTGAAAAGATAATATATTTTTTGACAAAGGTGCTTTCTAATACAGAGAGGATAGTGCAAAAAAAAACAGACATAAAAGTCAAAGGACTTCTTAGATGAACGTTTAAGTTGGGATCACTGTCTTTTCCTGTGTGCTGAACTGTCTGTGTAATGACTTTTTCTGGAGGAAAATTAGGGTTTTTTTCACACTGCGCATGAAGCAACTTCCTGACAGCCAACTGCCTCACTGTCTCAGTTATGACAAACAGAAAAGCTCAGCAAAAAAACAGGCCGCTCTAGTTCATCAAACACTCGATAGAAAAGATCACGAGCACTTAAAAAGCGAAAACGTCGTTAATATTTCAAGAAAGTTTGGAGCTTGTCGGAAAGAAATTGCACAGCACAACAGTTTTCAGGGAGTTTTAGTCTCAAATTTGGTGAAAATGTGATTTCATGGACCCTTTCCTGCAAAGACTGTGTGACCAGCAGCAGCAGGTCTATCCTCATCACTGCACAGATCAGCTCCAGCCATCCATTAGCTAAGAAACTTGTGCACTAAGGTAGATAATGAACAAGTGTCATGTATCCCAAGAAATGAAGGACAATAGTTTATATACAATAGTAAGGGACTTGAATTTCTTTCTTTGTTTTGGAGTGCCAAAAGTGTACAAATACATGTGTCTGGGGTTTCACAATGCTAAAGTAACTTCCCTCAGCTCTCAAACAACCGCAGACCAAAAAATAATAATTCACAGCATTTCAAGCTGGAGGCTTGAAGAGATCTTAAGGGTCCCCCACAATGCCCTGGCTTTCTGGCTTTGGTGGGCTGTTCATTAACAACATGTAAAATTATGAAAATGAATGTAAGATTTATGGAATCTTTTTGAATTAAAAGTGACTTTTTCACCTTTAATGGTGTAGTATACAGCCCTTGAAAACACGTTTTTTTGTCCGCCTGCTGTCCCTTTAGTCCCTCAGGAGCTGTGATGCTGACAGGACCGATTCCTCTGAGGACAGTGATGCTGTGACAGAGAGGGGCTGTTTGGATTCATGTTAAAATGCTGCTTGTGTGATGTAAGTGTTTGGAGCTTAGGGTGTTGGATTGCCTCATGTAATATCTAACTCGAATTCAAGAGACCAGAGGTGTTATGTCCCAGCAAAGACTTTCACTTATTCTTCTGTTTTACACTGATAGAGACAGACTTACATTGGGGGCGGCTTTGGCTCAGTTGGTAGTCTGTTGTTTCTTGATCCACAGTTCCTGTAGACACAGGTCGGATGTGTCCTTGGGCAAGACACTTAA